CGACTTGTGCTCTTCCCAAAAATTAATAAATATTTTAAAAATAAATAAATAATAAAAATAAATAAAATTGCTTAAGTGAACTTGTCCCTACCTAAAGAAATAGTTGAAATATACCAAAATGTTCCATGTTACTCTGTCCATATATAGAGAGCATTTGAGAGAGACTGCTCTCTCCTCTCTGGTTTCAAATATTTGGCTCAAACCCTGATGTCACATGATTAGACTTGACTATGGCCTCTCATCCCAGATCTCTTCTCCTTCAGATTGATCACTCCTCACCTGGCTTCTGCAAACCTCAGTTTCATTACTTTACTTAGACAATCACTAGTTCCTGCTGCATTGGTCCTTTGTAATCCTGCCCCTCCTCTCCATTCGTGGAGCATCTCATTTCAGACCCTTATAATCTGTTTCTTCACTGCCAGTAGTGTCACCCCTCCCCTCCGGTCCATCTTCCTGACTCTCTTGAGAGGCAGCTCTCAAGTCTTATCATTTGACCTACTAAGAGTTCTTCAAGTGGGCCCTCTCACCTCCAAGATAAGACATGAGTTTCCAACTCAGACAAACAAGACCTTTTCTGATCTGGCCCCCCAACTGCCCCAGCTTCTGCCAGTCAGGCCACCCTCCTTTCCAGTACCCCCCAGTCCAACTCACCATTCTGCCCCCACCCCTGGCCTACACAGCACTGTAATCACTCATCTGACACTGTGAACACCCTCAGGGCAAGAGTTCTAGCACTCTATCTCATGACCAACATTACTCGATTCCCTTACCAGACAGGAGGAACTGGCAGGTTGGTTGGTGTTCCTCACCTTTACACATCATTGCCATGCATATTTTCACTGCCAGCTTCCAGGTCCCCTTGCTTGGAACTGTCCTCCCCCTGCCCTTCCCAAATTCTAACCTTGCTCTGTCCAGTATGTAGCCACTAGCCACATGTGGCTGCTAAGCTTTTAAAATGCAGTTGGTTTGAAAGGAGATGTGCTAAGTATACAACACACACTAGATTTCAAAGACTTGGGGTAAAAAATATTATTTTATATTGATTACCTGTTGATATAATACATATTAGATCTGTGGGATGAAATAAAATGTATTATTAAAATTAATTTCACCTGCTTCCTTTTTTTTAAATGTGGCTACTAAAAATTTTTAAATTAAACATGTGGCTCACCTTATATTTCTATTGGACAGAACTAGTCTAACCATCCTTAGGGCCCAGGATGAGTAAAACCTCCTTCAAGATGTCCTTCTCTTTGTGCCACTCTTAATGATCTTTTTTGACCCCTTGAAATCCTATATTGAAGTCCACCATAAAAGCCAATATCTAAGTACATACCATACTATATGCTTACTAATTACATCAAGTCTTCTTGCTACATCAATGCCATTTCTATTTTAGGACTCAGAGTAGACACTCAACTTTCAATTAAACATGGAATCTTTGCTGGGGCAAGACAGCAATACAGAGAATTTTTTTGGTTTCTGTTTTGTTTTGTATACTCATTTACTTTCCCACCGATAATGTCAACAATGCAGGGAGAATTGGAAGTCAGGGGACCTAAGAGCTCATGGTTCTGTCTGTGATTAACACAATATATACAGATCATTTAGTACATCACTTGGCCCCTTGTAAGGTCTGCCTGTGCCTCAGTCTCCCCCTTTGTAAAATAAAGTTAATAATATCAGACCAATCTACAATATGTAGCCAGGTTAAAGTAGCTAAGCAAGTTCTAACTTGAACCATTACCATGACTGAGAAAATTCTACTTTCCACAGTTCATTGTGTGTTTCTTAGCCAGTTTTAGACTAATTTTTATAAAGAGAGAACAAATTCACAGCAATTATCAAAATATAAAGGGGGGGGGGTGGGAAACTACCTATCAAAATACTTGTCCTATCCTATTAATGATGGGAGGAAAGTAATGGGAAAGGGAATTGTTATATGCCTGCTCCAAGCTGAAGTAGTTTATATATTAAGTCATAATAACCTTTACAAGGCAGACATTACCATACCCATTTGACAGAGTAAAGAAACTGAGGTTCAAAGACAGGCTAGGTAACTAACCAAAGTGATGAAGCCATAACTGCAAATTCAGATCAGTGGTATCATCTTTCTTTTTTGTTTTATTTTTTTTTTTTAATTTTTTTTAACATTTATTTATTTTTGAGACAGAGAGAGAGAGAGCGCACATGAACAGAGGAGAGTCAGAGAAAGAGGGAGACACAGAATCTGAAACAGGCCCCAGGTTCTGAGCTGTCAGCACAGAGCCTGACGCGGGGCTCGAACCCACAGACTGTGAGATCATGACCTGAGCCGAAGTCGGACACTTAACCGATTGAGCCACCCAGGCACCCCATCATCTTTCTATGTAAAAAAAAAGAACACCTTTATTATCACTTGACAATAAAATATGTGAAATGCAAGAGTATTACCTGAATATGCAAATAAAAATACGATAATAATGTATATTAAATTCCTTCAAATAGTTTTCTTAATTTTGGCCAATTACTATCTTTCAGATCAAGAGGTCATTTTTTTCTAAATAGGCTTTTTCTTAAAGTAGCAAACACGGAGCACCTGGGTGGCTCAGTCGGTTAAGCATCCGATTTTGGCTCAGGTCATGATCTCACGGTCCATGAGTTCGAGCCCCGCGTCGGGCTCTGTGCTTACAGTTCAGAGCCTGGAGCCTCTCTGACCCTCCCCCGTTCATGCTCTGTCTCTCTCTGTCTCAAAAATAAACATTAAAAAAACTTTTTTTAAAGTAGCAAACAAATAGGGTATATGATATCCTAGGAACAAGTACATTAATGTACTGTTTTTCTTTAAAGCTTTTAATTTTTTATATATGTATCTATTTTGAAAGAGACAGAGAGAGTGAGTGAATGCACAATCAGGGTGAAGGGGAGAGAGAGGTGGGGGGGGGGGGAACACCCCAAGCAGGCTCCACACTTGGCACCGAGCCTGATGCAGGGTTTGATCTCACAACAGTGAGATCATAACCTGAGCTGAAATGAAGAGTAGGACGATTAACCAACTGAGCTACACAGGTGCCCCTTTCTTTGAGGTCTTTAAAACATAGTTGTTAGCAAAAGTTTACATTAGACATTACAAGTAGAATTCCTCAGACACATTTACAAAAATCTAGTCCCTATGGATAAAGATTGCAGCAATAAAGTAAACTGGATCATTCCACAAATGGATCAACAAGAAACCTAATATCAAAGAACCTCTCTTTGTTACAAAACTGAGGTCATTATGAGCTCAATGAAATGAAAAAGAAAGTTCCTCAAAATAGGATATGCACCTTAAAGTGAAACCTCAATTACACAGCCTTGAAAACTAACTTTCTCAGAATGGTAACAATGTATTGTAGATCTCTAAGAAACCAAACTGATCTAGGTTTAATTGATTCTGCCTTTACAAAATGTAGCCAACTTAATCCTGCAGACTTGGAAAGAACAAAAGTTCAAATTCTCTATCACAGGAAAACTTCCAGAGTATCAAATGCTTTAAAATACTGTTCAAGTCTCCTTTATCAAAAATGTTCCTGCAGTAGGTGTTAATCAGTCACTACTAAAAACTCTGCACAATGCAAGCTGTGTGTGCATGAGATTTTACTACAGGAAGCAGACAGTTCAGTTTACCAAGGACACCACATTTCACTTTCAAAAGTCTTGAAAACTAATCCCTCTAACAGTAAGTAACTAATTTATATTTCATTCCAAACCGAACAAGATAGTGTAATCTCAAGGAATTCGAGATTGTGAATAACTTCACTTGGAGAAACCAGGTAGGTGTGTGTTTTCTCAGAGGTGCTTCACAGAGTATAAATAGAAATACTTAGCAACCTTTAATCTCACGAACAAGATCTTTATTTAAAATTCTCACATATAAAATGAATTCTTTTACGCCATATCTCCTCAAGTGATAGGCACATTAGACTATGTGTCCTAAATCAGGTGATTTTTGCTCATTTTAAGAATACAAAAGATATCTAGAAGAAACAAGGTGTTCTTTTCTCACACCCCCACCCACGCAAAACACTATAGACAGCACAGGTGTTTGGTCCTTAACAAAAGTTAAGACTAAGTAGGTAAGAAAACAAAACAAAGCACAGCCTAGCAAAGCAGCTACAGATCACATGCAGCAGGTGACAGGAAGCCTTGTGGACACCTCACACCCACAAGGACGAGCTTCATCACAGGTCAACTGCAGGGCCCCCAGGGCTCCACAGAACCTCCATCCAGCAGTCCATAAAAACGAAATAAGGCAAAGAACTATCACTGTCATCTTGGCAATAAAGAAGCAGCAGCCTCCTTGAACTCAGGAAAGCCACCCTTCCCTCCAAGAAGACAGGAGGAGCCCCCCTTCACACCAAGGACACAAAGAAACCTAAGCAGTCAGACCAAAAATAAAAATAAAAATAAAAAGAGCATGGGAAGAGGGATGACAGCTAAATTTAATTTATCCTGGGAGCACTTCATGTCTCAGTCTATTTGAAGACTCCAACTCAAAAGTAAAAATAAAATTTAAGGGGAGTGGGCCCACGAAAGAGATGACAGTTCAATTAAGTGTGCTGGGAACACTTAGGAGACTCAGTCTACTAAGGGTGTCAAGAGTCCAAAATTAAAATTAAAAAATAGGAGAGGAGGAGACAGTTCAGTGTGTGTGTGTGTGTGTGTGTGTGTGTGTGTGTGTGTGTGTGTGTGT